AATAATAATCGCAATATGATCAATACAATATTTTAACTTTTGATTTGCAGTAAAAATGGATTTTTTATAGTAAAACTCAAAATAGCGAAAGTGAAAAATTTATGGAAATTATGCATAATTAATTGCAGATATGTGAATATTATGTGAAAGAATTAGAAATTTCACCGATATGGAATAAAAGCTATTTTACTTTTTTGAATGGAAGAAGCGAATAGAAATTTTTTTTTCGTACCATAATTCTTCAGATATTAGCCGAAAAAAACTTGCCTAGCAAAAATGCTTTTTTAAAAAGCCAAAACTTTTGGATTTTGAGAATTTAAAGCTTAGCCTTAATTACTGCAAGGGTTTCGGTCTTAAAATATATATATATATATATATTAAATAACACCAGATGATTCGAGCAATTCTGCTCCCAATTTCCAGAAAAGGTGAAAAGATAATATTATGAAAATTATCGAGGAATTGGCATACTAAATATCTCCAGGAAAATTTTCGCTGTCTATCGAATAGATTTATAGCAACACGAAACAGCAGGATGCGCCCTTATAAAACTGGATTTAAACTAAGAAGCGGTTGTGCTAACCAAATATTCACATTAAGGAAAGCGGTAGAACATCGCTCTAAATATCGGCAACCCATCACACTTTTTTCGTTGATTTTGCAACTTTCATCGATTGAATCGATAGAGCGGATTTGGCAGATAATAGGATGTTATTCCAGAGAAGTCGTTCGATTCATAATGGTATTTTACCAGAGAATATCGGCACAGGTCCAAGTATATGGGAAATCGATTCTTTCAAAATATGAAACTGGTTCGTCAAGGCCGTGTACTTTCTTTTCTTATCGGCAAGAGATGTACAAATCAATCCAGGTTATAATTACGCTGATGACATAGCCTTTTTTGCTGACTATTATGACGAAATGCAAACGATGCTAAACAACGTGTCAGCAACTCTCGTGATAATAGAACTCAGGATCAATGTAAATGATGTCTTTTCATCTTAAATATATGAGGCTGATAAAATACCTGTTTTTATCAATTCACCACTGGTCGAGGAAGTACCAGAGTTTAAATATTTTAAATCCACTTTATTCCCAAACGAAAGACAAAATTGCAGTCCTGATAAAATAAGCTAAAAATATGTTCTTCGGGCTGAAAACTTTATGCAGTCGTCCCAAAATCGTGTAAAAAAGGAAAATCTATGTCTATATGGCTGCATTTCGCTTAATCTTGCTATAAGGCTGCGAGATATGGCAGATAGGGTTATTGAGAAATTATTTTCTTTCGACTCATATCTAAAATATATTTTATGGGCACGCAGATAAAATCTCCCATCATTGCATCCAAATACTCCATTAACTTCGCTCAAATATGTTAGCAATACCGTCGCACAGCACAGGAATTTATATACATTTCTTTACTTGCTAAACACTGTGATGTATAACATTTGTAACAAAAAAAAAAGAATCAAATTTTATTCTTCCGTTATATCATCGTAACTATCGTTCGATGTATACTTCAAACTTGGGTAATTAAACCTTTATTTATATAGCAATACAATAATTATAATAAAAGCAAAATGAGGAGACGACATATTACAATATAATAAATTACAAAACGACATAAACAAAAAAATTCAACTAAAGAATTACATTAAATAACTTACTAAAATCGTTAGCCTACCCTCAACCTACCGTTTTCTATCAATAAAATCGAATAATAATTTATGTTCCAAAAAGGAATCTGCAAAATTGCAGCCACGTTTTTGTTGGCCTTCAATCGATTCTGCAGTTATTGGACCAGTTGAATTCTCCCGAATGCAATAATCTCTTATTCATATTCTCTTATCTCATATTCTCTTATTGATAAGATTGACAAAACGTAATACACTATTACCTGTCGAAGCCTTCTAAGATTACTGAATCTTTCATAATCTAGTGTAGACTGTAATTTCGGTAAGTACCGTTTTTGACATCGTAAGTGTCCGTTTATATCTTGCCAACTCATCGTTCTCTATTTTTTGAATCTTTTCATTTCTCCCTAATCATAAATTGGCAAGCCAGATAGCATTTGTTTTCGTTAACCAGTCTGGTCTATGCCACCATAAGGTATTCCCTTTCAAATCTTGAATTTCAACTCTCTTCGTTCCTTTGTTTGTCTTCGGGTTGTCTATTGTCGGGAAATATCGGAGATCAGCTTTTTCTTATCTCCAATTTTCTGTTATAAACAAATCGTAACCTTTGCAGTTTCGGTCCTTTCTTGGTTTGTAATTATCCAATAAAATATGTTTTGACCGGATTCGTTCAACTCCAGCTGCTTGATTAGATAATTTACCATTTACCATTTGCCATTCTTAATTTACCATATATGCAAATATATGTATGTATCTGCTGACGCGTCGCAGAAGCAATGTATTTCCACTAATTTCCTTTTAAATCGTATCTGGCGGGAAAAGGTGATAGATAAATTTTCCCAGCTTTTAAATATATTTTCAATGGGTTGTTGTAATTCTGGTTCCAGTTGATCATCCCTTTTGACATTCTGCCGACATTCTGCCGTAAGTTCTGCAGATGGGTCGTTAAGGATAATAGTATAGGCCTAATGTACCTTAGTGAATCAGATATCAAAGCAATGGATCATATATTGTAACATATGGATCATATATATTATACAGTCGTTTAGTGGCTGGTACTTGAGTTCGGAATCTGCATCGTAAATATGTCTTCCATATGATCCCAGGTAATGCCTAGGAATTTCATTTTTTCGGTTGTGCTGTACTTATCTTCTATCAGTAATTTTTCGTAGAATTGTCGTATGTTCATTTTTATGTTACCGAATAAGTCCTTTACATTGTCCTTTCCTATTGGTTCCTGGATATCCTTTAACCATAGGAACCGTGTTGCGTTGCGATCTATCGAATTAAGTTCAATTTGGTGGAAAACTTTCTCAATATCTGCTACTACTAATATGATTTTTTCTGCTCGCGCCCTAAATAATCATTAAGCAGAATGCCTATTATGTTCATTGAGCAATATCGGTCTCCGCAATAAATTGTCGTTTAAGGATACAAGGATTTCCATCCTTTGCGCTCGCATCAAACACGATTAGTAATTTTGTGCTCGTCTTTCCAGGCGTGAACACTTGGTGATGTGGTAGATAAGAAACTAAATCGAAATTTGTTGAAGGTGTTTCTACCTTTTCTATATTGTTTTGGAACTGCGACGTAATGATTTGATCATATTCCTTTAGTTTATTTTCGCTTGGATATTTGTAGAGAATCTTAATCGTCGATTCAAACGTCCGAGTGATTTACTGTAATTGTTTGATAATTTTGGCTGCGTTGTTTTCCATGGTAAGTTGACTCGGTATCGCCCTTCCTCGGTTATTTCCACACTGTCAGCAAATTATTGTATGGATAAATCATTCATCGTTCCGTTGCTTGGTGCTCCCATTCATTCTAGCGATCAGAATTGGTCTAAGCCTAAGTTGTCGTTCGTTACGAGATTAATTGTTGTTGTTTGTGATAGAAGATGCCGATTTATTGACCCATAACCGGCTAAAAAGTTGTCGACCTTACTGTGGTATAAATTAAAATCCGTGTTTTGGTCGTTCAATATCAAAACTTTCGAGAAAATCGATACCAATGATTATCTGTGGTTTTTCAGACACGATTAGTACCGAAAACTTCTTGCCTAAATTCAGTATGATAATTTTGCAATTTTTACTTGTTGAATCGGTTGTATTAACTTTTTTATCGTATATGCCTTTTTCTAACTGGTTGGTTCGTTTCTATTCGAATAGTGAAATGTCGAACTGGATTAGAATTTTCAAACGTATTTATCATCATCGTTTCTCTTTCGTAACGGATCAAATTGAATTTGTTTGCCAGAGATTCGGTTAAGTAAGAATGTCGTGCTCCAGTGTCAAATAATAATATCGTTTTCATACACTGGAAACAAGGATTATCTGGATTTCGAATCTTGACCTCGCAACACATCAATAATGATATTTTATTCTCTATGTTGTTTGTTTTAGTTCGTGATTCTATGTTGTGGTTGCGAAGCAATTCGATCCTTACATAACGTTGATAAGTATTGATCCTTGCAATAAAAGCACTTTGCACTTTATAATTGCAATCCTTTGCTATATGCTTATCGTTGAAGCACTTGAAACATAATCCATTCTTTTTTGTTATGTGTATCCTGTCGTGATAAGTTTTTATAGTTTCGCAGGCATCACTCCAGTGTTCCTCTTTACAAAACGCATATTTTTTGTTTGTGTCCCCAGCTTTTGGTTTTGTTATGGGATAGTTTGCGTTTATGTGGCGTTTGTCTCTGTTGTCTTTTGGTTTCGGTTGATCGATCTTCTTTGGGTTTATTTCAGGCTTTTGTAATTCAAATTCCTTTGATTTTTCTTGATTCGTATTTAATCGATCATGTGTTGTCAATAAATAGTAGTAATTAGTAGTAATTTCCCCTTTTAGTAGTAATTTCCTCAACAAATTTCGCAATTTCTCCAAGTTCCAGTCGTTATCGTCTAGTTTGCTATTCACTATCTGGCTGTAAATTTTGTGGGGTAGTTCATTTTCGACTAGAGCCAATAGTATCTCCACGTCATAACTGGCACTTTCTGACTGAGACAATATCGATAGGGCTTGTCTCAATATTTCGTAATCGTCTTCCGTAGTTTGTATAATACTCGATATTCTTTTTATTAATACATGATATCGGCTTTCTCGCTGCCCATAATGGCGTTCTAGATTATTCCGTGCTATTTCGATTCAATGACGGCAGATTGTTCGATTATTAATTTTGCCTTACCTTTCAGCTATCCTAAAAGATAGTAAAACTTCTGGACTTTATAGATTGAAAGTCCATCAATCATGATTCGAAATGATGATATAAATTGTTCCCATTTGTTTGTATCTCCATCATATTCGCACAACGAAATCGGTGGCAAATGGGATGTCGATATAATCGATTCGTTTCTTCCAGCAGATTTATTTTCTAATTTCTTTTTCCAATTCCTCAAATTGTAGCTTCAACTGCATTTCTTTCACTATCAATCTGGTTATCAATGTACTTGCCTCACTGATAGATTTTTGGACAGATGGATCGTCAAAAAATTTTTCGTATGCTTTCTCCCCTCTTGAGTTTCCAATTAATGTTGCTATCCATTGTTTGTCGAGATTGAGTTGATTTAAGTTCAATTCTATCATTGATTTATCTTCTTGTACTTCTTTCAAATCCCTTTGATGCACTTCTCTAAGTAGGCTCTTTGCTAATTCCTCATCATTTCGTAGCGCTTTATGACCCTTTGCGACCTCCACATTTTCGCGTAAAACCATTATCTCTTGGATTTGGAAATAGTCGTAGACATTCTCCAAGTTCGATAATCTTTTAATAGAATGCCGTTGTTTGTAAATCTTTATAAAATGTGCAGTTATTTGAGAATAAAAAAGGATAAAATAGCCTAACCTTTTTTTTTATTCGTATTTAGTCTTTGTTGCTCGTTCCCCGGCTCAGCTCCCATGTAACAAAAAAAAAAGAATCATTTATATTGCTATATAAATAACTTATATTGCTTTTGCATAAAAAAGTCCACTTCTTCACAAATATTAGCAAATCTTTCCGATTGGTCTGCATCAGTTGACAATGGTAAAACAGTATCAGTTGTTTACCTAGATTTGGCTAAAACTTTTTATGCTGTTTCCCATAGCAAATTATTGATCACTCTTAATAGTTATGGCATTACAGGGGCCCTTTATAACTGGGTGTCATAAAATACCGTCACCAAACTGTACTCGTCAATAACACTCTTTCTGACATAAAACTTGTTAAATCTGGTGTTCCCCAAGGCAGTTGTATTGCGCCATTGCTATTTCTATTATATATAAATGATATCACCACAGTGGTACTAAATTCTACTATTTATCTTTATGTTGATGATTATAAAATTTATTATTCTCATGGTAGAAAAGATAGCTTATCTCCATTGCAGGAGGACCTCAACAGAATAGCCAGCTGGCTATATGACAGGCAAATTACCCTTTCCTTTCAAAAATGTAGCGTTCTTCATATCAGTTCTAAAGGTTTCGATTTTCCTTATTATTATTAATAGCAATATAATCAGTAAAGTCTCCCATATTTCCGATCTTGGAATAATCATGGATGAAAATCTCGAATTCGACCCTCACTGCAGAACCATGGTAAAGAAATCCTCAAAGAACAAAACTGAAGATTTCCTTATTAAAATGTACAAAGCGTTCGTTCGGCCACTTCTTGACTACAGTGCTATATGTTACTCCCGGAGATATTATAAATCAAGTGGAATAATTGAAGAACTCCAAAAATATTTTATATGGCTTCTTTCTTAATTGCAGTTTTAATTATAAAAGAAAACTTCTACAATATAACCTGGATTCTCTGTCAGTTCGTCGTATTAAATAAGATTTAATTTATACTTATAAGATTCTGTATGGCTATGTTCAACTAGATTCGAAATAATTTTAGGTTAAATTTAAATCCAACAAGAACTAATGGGCTAAAATTACTAAAACCTATGTGTAAAACTAAACTAAGGACTCATGATTTCTTTATTCGTACTATTAATTACTGGAATAAATTACCGAACGATATAGCTTGTGTGCCATCCCTAGCTATCTTTCAAAAAGAATAGATAATATCATATATGATATTATTTTAAAAAATTCACATCATGCAGGAAGTGAGAAATCGCGATTTTTACCATCCGATTATAGTTATTTCGAATTGTACTATATTATATCATAATATTATATTATTATATTATTTTATTATTATATTATATTATTTTATATTATATTATTTTGCAATATCCTCTTTATTCTCTTTATTTCATTTTTAAATTGTTTATTTTAATTCAATATTATTATTTTTTTGTTTTTTTCATTAATTCTTATAATTTGTTATTTTAACTTTTATTATTAATGTAAGTACATGACGTTTGCGCCCTGCTTGGCTGGTTTTCAATAAATAAATTACTAACAATACAAGTGGTCATTCACTAGCACTATAATATTTATGGTCTAATAGTACATTTTTGGAATAGAATGAGTTGGTATTCTTTGAAGACAGGAAATGCAGATATTGCAATGGCTGGATTCCATAGAATGCATTTCTAGTGAATTTTCGTTATATAATGAAGACAATTCATCGAACAGGGATGGCTATGGATGGTATCGATTTCGAGCATCACAGATTCGATTCCTTAGTCCTTACATTAGCAAATGTCTTGCAAATGACTTGCCATTAAAAAACCAACTTGGTGATCCATTTATGCTTATATTGCTAAATGACTTTCTAGGAAAAAGAAAAGATACCTACTAACAGAACTACTTTGACCAGAAATAGCGGGCGCTAATCACTTATTTTATAATAGTTATTTGCATAATCCAATATTTATAATATCATTGTCAATAAAATTAAAAATGACTCGAAAAAAGAAAATTTTCTTCTTCACATAAATTTCATTTTATTGGGCAATTCTAAATGTTGACGGTTTTTTTGTTTATGATAGTTTCTTCCATAAAAACCTATTAAATCTATTAAAATCTATTTAAAAGTTCGTTTAATCACCCAACCGTAGAATAATTCAAAAGCTTATACGACAAATTCTTTGCAATAAAGACAAATAAGTTTGGACAAATCCGTCTTCGTCATAAAAAGTTTCATCACAGGGATTATTTTTCTTTAATACAATCCTTTCAATGATTTCTATTTTGAGGACAAATTTATTGTTAATCGCTACAAGGAGAAATCAAAATGATAGACTTAATAAAATTTTATTTCTTTTTCATTGACATTGTATTTAACAAATGGTTTGTATTTTCCCTTATATAATATAAAAATTTTCTTTCTTTGCAAAATTTCTTTCCTTTGCAAATCAGTGAAAAAGAATCATTGAAAGGTTTTTAAAATTTTATTTATTTAATTTAAATTCAAAAAATCTTAAATTTATCACCACAAATTTATCATTTTACTGTTTATCATTTTATCGTTATCACTTGGAATGTTTTATATCAAATTTTCATGCAAAAACTTTTCTTCGATTTGTTCATTGATTTTTTCGAAAGTATTTTAGAGATTTACGAAAAAATTTCAATAAAACTTATAAAAAGAAGTAGCAAAATTCACAATGAAATAGATTTATATCACTTATTCACTTACGAAATTTTTGTTGAAAAATTAGCTTTGAAAAATTGAAATTTTTTATCTGATGGTCGGTTGGATGTCTACATTAAGTGCAATATTTGCGAACCATTTTCAGAAATTGTGAGAACATTGAAAAATTTTAGTTTTTCTTTTTCTAATGGATTATTGAATTATTATTTGGTTACAGCGACAAGATTAGAAGAAGGAACTTCGAACCTTTTATTTTACGTTCAGTGAGTTTAATGCTTAGTGGTAAGACGAATTATATGTTGCTTCGACGAAGGTCCTTGAATTCCATTTCCACCTCGAGGATAAAATTGTTATTGAAAGTGAAATCTGAATGGTGCTGAGGATCCATTTACACTGTCCATCTCCACTGTCTAACGAAAAGATTCGGTCATCTCAAATCTGCGATTCATAAGATAATAAGCTATTTTTCTATTTTTTCTTCCCTTTCATTATTTTTCAATTTAATTTATTGAATTCCATCAGAAACTCGACTAATCACGTTATATTTTCATTGATTCGACGGAAAATTTATTTTTTAGCGTAAAAAATTATTTAAAATTATTATTCTTTATTTTCCCTTTTCATCAATTTTTTCTGAAGTATTGCGTGATTTTTTTCTTGCTCGATGTAGATTTCTTCTGCTTAATTGTTTGTTGTTCGGTAGTTGGTGACAATTCTCGTATCTATCAATTTGAAAAATCGATTAAGAAATGAATGGGTCGAATCTTGGTTTTTCAGTTGATAAACAACTCAATTTTTAGAAAAGAAGCTAACTAAATTACAGAGAAAAAAATAGATGTATGACTTACCGTCGAGATTTGCGTTGTTGATTCTCTCTGATATGTTCGAATGATACGTTGCAAATTTTTGGCGATATCAGTCGCTGTCCATCTCTCATTGGGATTATCAGACCAACATTTCAATAGAATGATATTTTTCAAATCATAAGGCATATGCACTGGAAGTGCCATTCGATATCCTTCTATGACCTGTTATCGTAGCATTTTATCGCCATTTTTTTTCTTCTGTTAATAATCATTCACCAGAGAACTGGAGATAGACAAAGAGATGAGCTTCTTAAGTTATTAGAGCCTCATTCCATAAGCTTAGATCAAGATGGTCGATCGATATATTACCTTATTTGAGGATAAACAATATCTTTATAACAATAAACAAAATAGCCCTTAACAAATCGGAAGCTATAAATTTAAAAAAGCATTTAGGACCTGTTTTGCTTCCATTCCATTCCTAAATGACTTTTTTGGCGACAGAGTCTGACCAAATTAATAAAAATAGCCAGAAAATTTGATGAAGAAAGAAAGACGTATCCATAAGTTTATATCTTTTCAAAAATTAGCTAGCATTGTGGAGTAAAATAGAAAATAGATAAATAGATAGAAAATAGATAAAAGAAAGCATTCTTAATCATCACCTTTATATTTACTTCAGCGACAGTTAGACCTGGATATGGCTCCATACCATCCGCAAAAATTTCCCAACATAAAATGCCATAGCTAAAAATATCCGTTTTTTGTGTGTAGATTGCTGTACGAAGCGTTTCTGGAGCAAGCCATCGAATAGGTACACGTTTTGTTGGATCCATTTGATATACCGTACCTTCACGAGTTAAGCCAAAATCACTGATCTTCACCTTTAACAATGACTAGCAAAATTAGTGACTTCGAATAATAGAAAATAATGAGTGAATTTTGGAATGAATTAAGTAAATTAATTGTGCCAGTGAATCATATAGTGGCAATCAAAATGGTCGATTTATTTCGATGATTAATTTTCATACGGGTGCAAAAAAACCTTATTGTCTCCGTATAGACAATTTCTCGCTGCAATATCTCTATGAAGTACCGGTCTAGCATGTAAATACTCGAGGCCTTTTGCTGCATCTAAACACATATCCATTTTTTGGTCCGATGATATCTTATTTCGTTGAAGGTACGAATCCAATGCACCACCATCAGCCTGTAAACTGTGAAAGGATTTATTAATTCATTCTTCACTTCTTCGAATTCTTTGGCGCATCGAAAAAAATTCCTTGATTTTAAATTTCAAATCACTAATATATCGGGAATTCCTCCTTTCTTCCGTTGTAGCCAGTATATAAATATAGTTATTCCTGTATGAGTTGATATTATGAACTGAAATACCAATTCCATAACAATCATTAGTGGTTCTTGACCAGCGGCTACTCCATAACATTTGCATATATTTGGATGATCAAATGTACGATGAAGACGCGCTTCATTCATGATTTCTTTGATTTGTTCTTTTGTTAATGTTTCCAGTTTTGCCTATAGAACAAATTAATTATATAATTATAGGAAATATTGTTGGAGTAAATAAGAACATTCATTAAAATTTATTTAATTGCATTAATCTAATTGAAAAAACAGACAAGTTTTACTGCGACATCCAATTTTCGACCATTTTTAAGGCGTAATAATCCAAGATGAACTTCGCCAAAGGCACCTTCGCCTATTTTCTTCGTCAGTTCAACATCTTGATGATGTAATTCCCAATTCTGCCGTGGTATTGGTTTCGTTAAGTGCACTTTGCTGGATCTTACCAAACTTTTTTGTGTTTTTAAATGAAACCTAATCATTTCCGGCACACTGTTGAAATAATATTTTTCTACCACATATTTTCCATTCTTTGTGCATTTAATAATGTAGTGTTTTATCTGAAGAAGTTTTTTAGATTGATTTTTTCTGGATAGCTATTAAACTATGTTTTAATAAAAGTAATAATTGTATTTAAATTATAAAATGTCAAAATTTAATTAAAAATAGTAATAAAATATGATTGGAAAAAAACTGAAAAAAAAATTCATTACTTAGGAAACAGGATGATTTTTTGTTTTTTTAATAAATCATTCTTATAATCATTTAACTTTAAATTTTTTAGTTTTATCAAAATAATATTTCTCTGCCAAATTTAAAAAATCAACTATAAAACTGATAAAAGAAGATCCCAAAATTACATAAGTTATTTGTAAAAAGCATATTAGGTTTCAATAATTCGATGTTAGAACAAAATTCGCGAAAAAATCAAAAATCGCTATTAAAAATGCTCGATTCACACGATATAATGGCTAATTGGGAAAATATGAACAGAATTTTTATAACCGAAAAGAAATAGACGACTGAATTCTTGAAAATTACCCCGCGTTCTTCGTCTTCTTCATGTACCATTACAGAAATGACAAAAGCTCTTGGCTGTCCAGCAACTGGTTCAGTAATTCTTACAATAAAATCACCATTGCATTTCAGCATCATTTTGATGTCTTCTCTAGGCAATAAACCATGATAATATTCTTCATCTGCTAATGTTTTATCAACAACTGTAAACAAAGAATATAAAGATAATCATTGCAAATTTTCTGTTCAATGAAACTTCCTCGCTGATAATTTATAAGCATAATTAAAGCACAATTATTGCAAATTTACAAATGGCTAACGCTGAATCGATCTATGAGCGATTAATTTCGAGATTTAGAAACTACTCAATTTATTGGAAAAAAATATGATCGGAAAATTTTGAAAACATAAGTAAAATCAAATCGAACCATTTGACATTTCTCAGAAATAGACAGAATAAAATCTGTCACAAGCAACCATTAATTTATTAATTTAATTTATTAATAAGAATTGAGAACAGTCGAATTTTTTAAGCAAAATTTATTCATAATTTTCCAGTTTTAAATAAGATTCTTTAAACAAATTAGATTAGATGAATTTCATTACTAAATTTCATATAAAAATTTTCAACCGAATCTACGAAAAAATTTTGGAAGATATTGGAGCGATTTTTTGATAAAAGAAAGAAAAGTTGCATAATAGAAGTGATAACTGAAAAAAAAGTGATAAAAACTGATCAAACGGAAAAAATGGAACAAGAACTTTAATAGCGGGCTCGGTGAATTTCGAAATTTTGCGTATAATTTCATATCATGATTGCCTTCAGCCCTTCAAACAAAAGATTTTTTCGAGAATCCGAAAATCTTCAGTTTCATTGGAAGGATGGGAGATTTTGAAAGATTCAAGAAATGCAATAAATATATCAATACAAATTTTTTATTTTTTATTCGAATCATATATAAATGCACCTCTAGATTAACCTTTCATTATAATGCGCTTCTATATCATACCTTAGAGGAGTTGAGTGAATATTGATTCAGATTATCCATAATGAGAGGCAAAGAATCGATTCCTGACCCCAGCAGGAATAATCTAAAAAATCTGAACGGTGCTCGCAACCCATTTTTACTTCTTTCGCTAAGTGACCCCTAACAAAATCTGCTAATGGTTCTCATAGCCAACTGCATCAATCAAAAAATGACGAAGAAATACTATTGCTTACTTATCATACCTTAGAGTATATAAAGCACTGAAATTTTTCGATATATATAATTTCACTACTAAATATATTTATGCATAACACATAAGAAAAATGCATTAATCTGCACAATAACTCTTTAATTCCTTTATTCCTTTTTAAATTTTTGACTAAAATCCAAAAATTTAATTTAACGCTCTTAACAGTAATGGAGAAATTTTAAAATTTGCATAAAAACCTTTAAGCACTAACTATTTTCCAATAGCTTAATTTGAATTTTAGTTTTCACGCTTAATATATAGCTTAAATTTTTCCGAACTACATGAACAATGGGATTTTTAAAAAGTTTAGTTTCACACGAGCTGAGAAGTTGTTAGATAGTTTATACTTTATAGTATTATAGTCCCTTTTCGAATTTTTCGATTCTACGTCAATTTTGTTAACTTTCGTTGAATTTTTTGCCAATTATGCAAAGAGATTTTTTCCCGCAGTACGTATCGCTTCTGATTAATATTTGTCCACTGGTTTATTTTAATCGGACAGCCGATTAGGAATAAAAGTGTAGTTTAGCATTACCAGCAGATTTTCATCTCTAATATGCAGAATTGTGCTTTGTGAACACGAATTTGCAGTTTAATCTTATCTCATTTGTTGCCAAATATTCTTTTTTTTACAAATATAATATATAAAATGTATATAATATATATAAATATATAAAAATCTCAATAGGCAACAACACTTCTTTCTTTTAAACAATTAACGTCGCATATTTGAGGTTATTTAAATAAATTCTAAATTCGTTTATTATTATTTTGTTGTGAAAAATTCAGCGGAGTTCTTGTTATTGCGATGAATCATTTCAGAAAAAAATTAGTAGTTTTAGATGACTATTAGACGGCCCTATCCTGTTTTGATTTTGTAGGTATGTGAGCAGTGATATGGAAAAAATTCATCACTATTTTCGCAAAAGGCAATTATTGAAACGTTAGGATTTGCTCAGGCGATATGCTCTGTTGTTTCGTTCGTTGCATACATGACTGAACTTAATTTTTTTAATTTATAAAAAAAGTAGAGCTTCAAATTAGTGTTATGATTATTTTAAATGTGAAAGAATCTGAATAAGTGAGTTATTCAGCAAAATAATTTTATTATTATTTTTAGATGTTTTCATGAATAAGTTCAGATATTTACCTAAAAATAGACGAAATAAAAATGGCGAAATATTTGTGGATTTATTTGTTCCTCGTGGTGTTTATTTCGGTATTTCTCGCTGAAAAACCAATTTTAGGGTATTTCTTAATTTTTAAATTAATATGCTTTAATATTTTAATATTTAAGCAGTCGAAGAGTGAAGAAGACTTGGCAAATAATTCTAAATAGTTGTCGTTCGTAACAGTCAATCGTCTTTCAAATTCATCTTCAGCCAAAATGAGTTTTTGCTCTTATGAATATTAATATTATATTATATTCGAATGAATATTATTAGACTCGAGTGGTATTATATTATAATATTTTAACAAACATTATAATTAACATTATAATAAACAAATATTATACGACATTAATACATTTAATGCAATATCGCGATTTTATGAAAATTAGGAAAGGATTTCTAAATTTCAATTATTAAATCCCGTAAAAAAATTCTTTTCTTCCAATTTAAACGATTCAGAATGGCTATATGTACGATAAGCATTTATTCCTGGTACTCAGTAGATGTATATAATCATGCAGGTGATAAAATCTGTTTTGTTTTGGCTCATTTTGTTGCAGCATATTGATTAATTTTTGTATTTTGGCTACTTGGTGATAGAAGTGCAAGTGAGTGATCAATGACACCTAAAATTTTCCGTGATATGCTGATATGCTTAGTATTAGCAGTAGTAGGCATTTTATCACATTAAAGTGATTATCGCTTATTTTTAATGAATCATTTTTTCATTTTCATTTTTTCTGGAAATAATTGATTTTTTTTAAACAATTATGCAAGCTTTTGGTATTTTTGTGAAATTAATTATGGAATGCGATCATGGAAACATCAGTGATATTTTAAAATGAAAAAACAAGAAATTTTTTCAAAAATCATTGCATTAACTATTTTCGAAGCTTTAATATTTCCGAATGAAATGTTAAATTCGGCTAATTCTATTGGAATTTTTTTCCCTTTTTTTTGCTGATAAATTGTGAATACAATACTTTTAAAATGAATTTCATTCATCCATTGGTAATATATTATTTGGACATTTTTCTTTTAAATAATTAGATTTATATGAAAGTGCAATTATTTTAATTGCAGCTTCTAGATTTTCTTATTCTCTATATTAAATATTTATTTATTTAGTGGAATATTAAGAAATGAAATGAATTTTTTTTTTCAGATATCGAATAAGACGAGGCGGCAAAATAGATCGAATGCATCGGCGAATTTTGCGTAGATGGAAGAATTCATTAATGATGAGAAATCATGGAGAACATGACGAAGTTCCTAAAAAGTTTTTTTTTAAATTTTCAAAAATAACTCCAAATTACAATGGTAAATCAAATAATTGGTACTTCTGACTAATCTTATTTCTGCCTAAATAATCCTCTTTCATTAGCTAATCTATATTATTAACAAATAGCAAGAAATCACGGCAATTGCTTAATAACTTATAACAGCTTATAAAATTGGAGAAACAACATTTAGAAACAGCATTTAATCTTTAAAAACATCCCATCGCGGAATCATTTGTAAATAACAGAATTACAATTCCAATTACAAATGGAATAGCTTCCGAAATCTTATGAAAAATTCAAAGTTGTGGTGAAACCAATCATAGCGAAATTTAGATGTAAAGAAATATATCGATGAAAATTATTATTAAGTTATAATCACAATCATAATTAAAATTATGCCAGATTTTTAAACTTCTAAATAATAGAATTATAGTTGCAAATAGAACTTCCTTCCGAACAGGGGTTTTTTTTTCAAGCCACCATTTTCAGAAACGGTCGAGTTCCAATTGAAAAAGTGATTTTCAAAATGGATTCACTTATTAGACCGCGATTTGGATGATCTAGAAAGGTGGATATATATAACGCATATACAGATTTTGAAGATCCATTTTTGCGCTTTGAAGTCGAATACGAAAGTTTCAGTAAATTTAACCTTTGCCTTAAGAAACTTAAGATAAGAGGATCGGCAACTGGATAAATCAAATCTTGAGGCTTCATCTTCACCGCGAATTGGAGTCCTTTGATAAATTATTAAACTTTTATTAAATTCTTAACTATTTTATCAAAAAAAAAGAAATTTTTGCTGATTATCTATATGATGAGACATTGCATTAATACCCACTCGATGTTTCCCAAGAATGGCATAATAGGGACCTTTTACTTTCGATTCAAAATTTTACTGGGAAAAAATTTAGAAAGAAAGTATTTAGAAAGTAAAATGGAAAATCTAGAGATGGCTTATATTACAAATGAACGTTCTCTATTCGGCAACAAGTTTTTTCGAGAACGTTTTTTTGAAACGGTGATATCGAATATAGAATATATTAAAAATAAAAGGAAAGGAATAGTATTAATACAAAGCGGCTCAGTTTCACAATTCCGTAATTTATTTTTAAGTTTTTACTTCATTTTCGATTAAATTAAAATTTTATAGAATTTTATAGAATTTATAAATTTTATAGAATTTATATTTTCCTCGAATTTTTTAGGAGTTTAAATATATGCTTAATTGAAATTTGTGAATTTTTTCATTCTTTTAAGTACAATTGAAAATAGAACGCAAATTTGCGGTAAGAATTGGAAATTGGGCAAAGAGAGAAATGTATTCAATGAACTATCATTGAACGCTTTTCGACAAGTTGGATTTCACTTTCAAAAAAATTATTGCTCCTTTCTTTAATGAAATTCTAAATGAATTTTCGTATTTAATAAAATTTTTATCTCATTGGAAATCGAGTTGGCTTCGCAAAAAATTCTCATATTTCTCAATTTCAAAAGTTTTTAAATTTTAATTAATAATTTTATTTAACTTTTTACTTTTTAATTTTACTTTTAATTAATAATTGCCATTTTTCCTTTCTCTTTCATAACGGTAGGTTATTATTCAAAACTGAAGTATTAAAGATATTAATTTAAAAATGTTGGAAAGCACAAAAATGAAAAGGAACCTTGCATTTATGCATTTCAAAAATTATGTGGATTTTTGCAATTCGCAGTACAATGGCAAACAACATATCTTGCAGCA